TGCGATTGTACAGAAACTAGTTACATTGGAGAATTTTGTCAAATACCAAAGGGTAAATGTGCTAGTGTTCCATGTAAAAACAATGCAACCTGCCTGGATAAACAAGATTTCTATGATTGTGACTGCACAGGGACTGGATATTTAGGACTAAATTGTGACATTGATGTTAATGAGTGTAATATAGGAAATCATGAATGTCAGAGTGGATCATCATGTCGTAACAGTGTAGGAAGTTATAGCTGTCAATGTGATGTTGGTTATACTGGTAGGTTCTGCTTTAAAATTGTTATGGGGATATTTCTTTCACATATTTCAACATGGCTTCCATTTGTCAAAAATGCAATTCAAGGGGATGACATTAAAAAACACGTCCAGTCATTTAGATGTGGCAATAAAAAACATGGCTCTGTGCGCTACAATTTGATCAAAAAGAGTAAGTTAATGCAACAATCCTGTCAAAATATTCCTCATTGCATTACACACTCTGTGGCGTTGCCTGACTTTACATTCTGATGAGAATGCTGTGGCATCACCACAACGATTTCTGTTCCTCTCACTTTAAATAATTTTTTATCTCTCTATTGTTCATTTCAGGGAGATATTGTGAATCTGCTCCAGACCCAGCCACATCAAATACTAGTATCATTGTAGCCAGTGTTTTTATATTATTAATATTGTTAATATTAGTATTACTCTATGTAGCCTGGCGTGTGAAGCAAAGTCGGAAATGGCAAGGCCGTTATAAACCAGCAAAAGCAGAACAGAACATGAACCCTGACATTCCTATGGAGAAAATGATTGATGCATCTACTGGTGAGATGCTGGTTTGATGAACTAAGTCAATATATTATGTAGACTCTCAAATCAGAAAGTTTCAAGTGCAATTGAGCAGTGAAGGAGAGATTTTTCCTTTATGGCAACATCAGAGGCAGTTCTGATGCATTGTAAATATTTCCAACTCTGCAATGGACCCCTTAAACGACACTTACATTTAAAGGCAATTCAATTAATTAACAGGATGTGTTAAACCATAGTTAAGAGGAAACGCTCTTGATAACACCATGCACTGAGGCCAGTTAAACTTAAACTCTTCCAGGTGCATGGATTCTTTCCTCTGTAACATTCCAAACTCAAAATATTCCAGTCACAAGAGTATGTTGGGTGATCATAAATCAAAATTTATTACAGGAATATATCCGTCTGAATATCCTTCCTCTGCTAATATAGCTTAATTTCCCTGTCATTATTTCTTAAGAACCTCTGATTAACCTGACAAGCTGTAGTGTAGTTATTCAGGCCATGAAATATTTTTACTTTTTAAAATTTCTCACTTCTGACCTTCATGAATTAAGACTTCATGTATTAAGGCATTTACCATAAATAATCTTTTGTTTCTTTCATTAGGAAAAATGTGCCATATTTATATATAGATACTGTTAATGGCGCATGTTAGATTAATGTTCTTAATTGTATCCATGTCTTCCAAATTTGTTATGTTATTGTAAAGGTTTATTTTGTTTTATCCATTTGTTTTGATTTGAATAATTTCATATAAGATTTTTCAATGTCTTCCTGATATACATCATTTCATTTCATTTCTTATTTTAATGTTTTATTTCTTTATTAAGAAGGTTTCTCGAAATATTGTCCAAAAAAATTTAATTTATTAATAAAACTGTTATGATTTCAAATTGATCTGTGAATGTTGTGCATGTTTGTTCAACACTTTCCATTACTATGTGATCCATTGTCACAAAGTAATGCTGTGTGACAAAGCCTATCTGTTTGATAGGTGATACAAAGTGAGGTTGTGTTACACTGTGTGATGTGTAAAGTATGATACAGTTTGATGCTGAACATTTTTGCAGTTTAAAACTTTGTAAATCAACACATGGTGGTGAAATGCTGTTTGAAGGTGATGATGGATTCAGCTGGGTGATGTTAAAGAGAATAGGTCTGGTGGCCAAATACCAGTATGTTTTGGAGTACAAAAAACGGCCAGTTTCCAAATTATAATAAACAGTCATAGTACCTGTCCAACAACATTCTTTAATACTAGTACTACATCAAAAGCTCCCTAAATACTAGTATTGCAACATAACCCACTACCAGTCCTTTGGCATACCCTACTACCAGTTTCCTACATCAAGTCATCAAATACAGTAACATCTTCTACCAATAATCCATTAATCTACCCTAATGCTAGTCCTACACCATCTAATACTAGTCCTACAGTGTTTCCTACTACCACCAGTCTAACCACTTCTTTAGCTTTTAGATCAGCCACCAAACCAGTCGAACCACTTCTGTCCAACATCTTCCAATCAGATGGTATTAGGGGGATGTTGAAGGGGATGCCTACAAACTGGTAGTAGAGGATGTTGCAGGACTGGTTGTTAGCCTAGTAGTATGGGAGTAGGAGATGTTGGACTGATATTAAGAGAAGTTGTTGGTTTGTTATTGTAATTAAAACTTTTTTTGGGTCACCAGTAATGATAAACTTAACCAGAAGTTGTTGAAACATTATTTGGATGAAAGTTACAATGTGTTTTAGGTGATTCTCTAAAGCAGAAAAAACAATATAACATTGTATGTGGTCCAAAACATACCTTGGTTCTCTGCCACTGGACTAATCAAAAAAATAAGAAATATTTACAAAGTGAAATTCATTTATTCAAATGTAAATCTACATGACTGGCACCAAAATATAAACAAAAATATAAGAACCTTAACATTAACAATAACATAACATATGGCACATGATTAAATTATGTATTACATTTGTTTTTAATATTTTACAGGATCTACGCAAAATAAACAATTCTAAAACCAGAAATCGTGAACAGATCAATATAATATAGCTTTAAAAAATAAAACAAATCAAGTCTTGTTTTAAAATGAAAATAACTTAAACAAATGAAAATACTGTATATACAAATGACAAATGAAACTCACAACTTGAAATTTATAAAACACGTATATTCTATCAAAAAGAAATCAATGAGATTCTATTTCTAATAATGGGATGATTTGGTAATGATAGGTCTTCTAAAAGTTTATTTATTATGCTATAATTCATCACGAACTTTTGCTATTAAATCATCTACATCACCTTCAACATAATCTGGCACTCTGAACGATATACGAGGACACTCGCCCTCCATATTTAAACAAAATAGTTTTTCTAATGAGGCGGTTTTTATTATATTAAATCCTACTTCACCACCAAATGTTGAAGGTTTCCAATGTTTTGGACTACAAATAGGATTAGACATTAAGCCCTTCACAGAAAAAGGTCCACCTATTTCCACTATACTAGAACCAAACATGGCTTTATAGCGTCTTTTTTCTAACATTAATCCTACATAAAATTCTACTGCATCAATATCACCGTATAATTTTTCTAATTCATCTGCTAGTTTAGTTTCACCTGTTAAGAAAATAATTAATCTTTTTATTTTTGTATTGAGATAATGCAGAAATGAGTTCATTTGACAGTTGGAAATGCATACTACATGGTGTTGCCCCTCCTAATAAGCTCACACAGCGTAAAAAAAATACAGCTTAAAACTCCATTTCATTCATATGCAATAAGTGAGCATGTACTTTAAGTCTGATTCAAATCAATTTTTTAGGGTCACTACAAACTGCAAACTTTCTAACTCGAAGAGCTTATATCTGATGGTAACCTTTCGACTTTAGTTATAGTTATAAATGCTACTTACCGGTTAATTCTTGAAAAGATTTGAAAGCAGGTAAACCAAATCTTTGCCTATATCTATTTAGGGGTTGTAATCGGAGTTCTCTCCCATGTTTTAAGGTGTCTCGAACAACACTTAATGTCATATAACAATGATTATGATGACCCATCTAAAATAAAATACATAGAATTTAGAAACCAACTTCACCTGGGATATAACTATAGCACATTGGCCCAATAGCCAGAAATTTACCAGCACTTTATATTCAATTTAGGTGGTATCATTTATTTGTTCAGCATTGTGGTAGAAAGTTTTAATCTGATAATCAATGGCGAGACTGTGGGTAGAAATAAGAGACAGACTGACTCAATGGGGGAACAACTGCTGAGGCTAAATTGAAAGTTTGGCTACTCTGTGGTGGTGTCATAGTCGCTAGCCTTTCATAGTGCGTCTCAGAGGGTTCTTTCAAGAAAATTTTATAAAAAATGAATTGATTTTGTGCATTCTGACAAATATTTTGGAGAAAGAAGGTAGATATTTAGATTTGTTGAAAATAAAGTGGGGGTATAGTTGGGGTGCAAACCACTTTTCTAGGGCAGCAAATGCCCCCCTGTACCCCTGCTGGCGCTGCAATGCTGATAATCAAAGATGATTGATAGATTCTGGACTCAAATAACTTGACATGTAACAAAATAATCAGGGAAAGAGTATTGCCGAAATATTGAAACATTGTTATCGGACGGATCAAATGAGCAGAACCCAGAAAATGAAAATTGAACTTCTACAGAATATTATTATGTTAAACTTCATAAAAATAAACTTACCAAACCAGCTCTTTGTTTGACAAAAGATTGGACGAAATTCTTCACACCATGTTTAATAACTAATTCAGAATGGAATACAAAGTCTTTAATAGGATAAACTGTACCACTGATGTTAAAGTCATCAGGCATTAATGGATGCCAGTGATAAAGGTGGTTGAATTCTACTGTGATACGATTTTGATATTGAAAGGATTCTCCATGTAATAATTCAGGATTAAATGAAAGTTTATAATGATAGTTACTCAGATGTTGAACATAATCCTCTATCACTATTTTAATTGTTTCACCTGGAAAGATAAGATAAAAATTATTTATCAGTCATATCAACTAGATTTAAGAATAAGTACAGGCTCTATCTCAGTCTGTTAGAATATTGGTATTTTGATATTGTTTCCTTTCATTCCATGTCTTCTTGATAGATCTTTTGCTCATACTGAAAGGAACAATGCCAAGGATCTGTTGTTATACAGGATCCTTAAGATCCTCGAGAAGTTAGTGATCTTCCTTGTAAAATCTTCCTTGGATTTGTTTCTTTCTTTCTTATTTACCTTGATAAACTACATATATACAAAATATATATATCTTATATGCAAAGTAGACTTACCAACAATAATTAATTTAGTTGTTTGAAAGAGTTGTTCATCATCCCATTCTGGATGTTCTTGTTTTAATATATCACAAACTCTATTGTGTTCACGTAACCAAATAGTAGCATAGAGAAATAATCCTGGTAATAAACCAAATACCTGAAAACAGGAAATTGGATTTTCAATTTTGAACATTTCACATATTTCAGAAAATATCTCTAAAAATGGCATCTACACCTAATTTTCATATTGCTTGTTGAAATTGTCAAAATTACCTGTTGTCCTAAAGCAAATTTCATGGTATCTGGTATCCCTGGTGGATAGGTCATGGGAACATCTACATCTTTTAAATATGGTGGATATTCTTCACCGTTAATAACCTGCATCTTCATTTTACCATCTTTCATAGATCTTAAAGCTAGTTCAACTTGTTTATTTTTTCCATAAATATGTGATACATCAACCTGTAGAATGGAGCAAAATAGATTATGTAGATTTTGAATTCCAAAATTCTAATTTTAATCTCATGCAACTTTGGCAATGCACATTTAGACAGTTAGTTTTATTACTGGGTTAATTTTCCAAAATTGCATTATTGGCTTTGAGATTCAGCTCTGGAGGCAGCCCTTGAAATAAATTGAATATCCTAATTAGACAACAGTTTATTGATATTACTTGTAAAGGATTATAAATAGTTTTACTTACCCCATGTCCTCCCCATTGATAAGCAGCACCGGCCTTAATATCAGTTTTAAAAAATTGATGTGTAAAATGTTGGGCGAAGAACGTAAATAAAACATTACTGCCTATTGGTTCAGGTAAAAATGTTGTTCTTTTAAAAAATTTATCAACAACTAAATCAACATCAGGCAGTTCCTTCTTCCCTATAATAAACAAACAAAAACAATATAAGCTTCACATCAATGGATACCTTAAAAGACCACCAAAAATTTCTCAATCAGGATATTAGTTTTTGTAGATATGCTGTATAGACATCAACTCAAGCGTTCAGTCAGAAATTTTACAAAAACAGACTTGCCATATCGACATTATCAACTTGTCTGATTAAGCAGTGAAGTTAAAGCAGTGAAATATCTGAACAAATATCTTTTGAAGAGATGTCATTAAATTGTCAGTAAATTTACCTTTTACTCCCATAGGAGTAGGACAATTTAGAGGAACTGGAGGTAATGTTCTAGCAAAATAAGTATAGTTTACAGCAGCTTGAAATGTTGGATATTCATGTTCAGATTCATATACAGCAGGACTATTGACCATAAAGGACCTTACTGAAATAATACAAAAACATGTTCAGATTCATATTGGTTAAAAAATACTATCTTAAGGAAAGGCTTTTGGTAAAAAACTTCTTAAATTACAATGTAGACTAAAAATATCAGAAAACAAAAGAGATATTATTATACAACTATAATCTAAGTTTAATAAGATTGGGAAATAATAAACATTGTACTTACTAAGATAGATTCTTTTCATAGCAGCATTTTTTAAAAATGAAATATTATTAACAATATTCCATAACCATTTATTATCAACTAGAAGGTTATGAATTGTATCTGAGGAGGGTTTAAATAATAATACAAACTTCTTCCATGTTGTTGCTACAAAGAAAGATTTTTTAAACTATAGAATATTTTGTCAACTGCTGAAGCACCATGGTGGAGTTCATATCCACATCACAAGAGAATCCTTTACAAGTAAATCTTGCCAAATGTTTTTTTAATTTTTTATGGCACATTGGATTTGAAGATATTTGATTTTCATGAATTTTAATATCAACTTCAAAACAGTCCTGATAGACATGGAGCAGAGTGATTTTGCATTGACTTAAATGTCAGCATAGCCATTTTTGTATCATTATGACGTGTTTTTAATTAAGAGGGCACCTCAAAGTGAGTATTACAGTTGTTCTAAAAACATGATTCATCAATAAAAATGATTTCTTCTAATGTTATTTAACCTGAATAAAAGAAACACTTACGATGTTGGCACCGATCTCCATAATAATCTAATCCAGTACAATCACATGTAAATTTATCAAAACCTTGTGTTGTACAGATTCCATTATTCTCACAGGGGTACGAACAACAAGCATTTCCTGCTAAAAATAATAATAACAATCAACATCAACACATAGACATTCTCTTGAAATGTCACACATTCAATTTAAAAAAAAAGTATCTGTTTTCTCACTCTTGGATTCTCAAACTTCAATCTAGTAACTGTGATCTAAGCAACATGTGAAATGCTGAATAGATCAATAATTCCATGCAAAGTGATATTGTGTAAGTGTAAGAAGTATAAAGTTGCACTAACCTTGTGTTGTGAGTATTTCTGTTGAACTCAAAACAATAAATATAATAATTATACTCTTCATCACACTGTACTCTGAAATAATAACAATTATACACTTCATCACACTGTTCTCTGAAATAATAACAATTATACTCTTCATCACACTGTACTCTGAAATAATAACAATTATACACTTCATCACACTGTTCTCTGAAATAATAACAATTATACTCTTCATCACACTGTACTCTGAAACAATAACAATAAATATAACAATTATACTCTTCATCACACTGTTCTCTGAAATAATAACAATTATACACTTCATCACACTGTTCTATGAAATAATATAACAATTATACTCTTCATCACACTGTACTCTGAAATAATAACAATAAATATAACAATTATACTCTTCATCACACTGTTCTCTGAAATAATAACAATTATACTCTTCATCACACTGTTCTCTGAAATAATAACAATTATACTCTTCATCACACTGTTCTCTGAAATAATAACAATAAATATAACAATTATACTCTTCATCACACTGTTCTCTGAAATGATAACAAAAAATATAACACTCTTAAATATTTACAATGCATATAATTCTATAGTAAATATAACACTGTACTCCTTTTTAATAAAAAGTAATAAACACTGTACTTTGAAATAATAACAAAATAAGTATAAAACACTACTCTGAAATAATAATAATAGATTGAGTAGAACATTCTACTCTGAAATAGTTACAATAAACAAATAAATAACATAATCTCAAATATTTTAAGCTAGTGTTTTAGTTTTTCAAATAACTAAATGAATATTGCAACAAAGGCAATTTTCAGATATCAGACATTTTACAGATGAAAGGAAAGTATAAGAAGATGTACATTAACATTTTAAGATTCTCTTTGAATTGAAACAGTCTTCTCTCTGGAGAGGGAATGTAAACAGCAGAAGCAGTTGCAGGAATTATTTTTGTAGAAAAGGTCTCTTTGATATTAAGGACAATTTTGTCTTTTTTAAGTTTCAGCTCACAATATAGATCAGAACAATGTTTCCTCATAGACACAATCATGTTGTCCAATCCGCTCAGTCATGTTATAAAAAATGTTATTCAACATAATTTAGGTTAATTTATAAGTAAGTTAATGTTTACTATGTTTACATTAAGATTAATGTTAGTTTACAAAGTAAATAATTAACATCATGTCAACCATTTCCTTACTGTTGACTAGAATACAAAAAATAACTTTAGCTGGTCACTGAAATCTTTAGGCAGAGACAAGGAAACAGAAATTTACTTTAATCAATTTGTATCTTCCACAAATTTGTTATCCAAGAAGTTCCACTGAATTTCATTTTGATGTTATTTAACACATTAACATTATAAATTTGAAATGTAAAAGAATAATTTTTGATTATATAAGATCACAAGTTGAAAATGAAACATACACATCAAAATTTACAAATCCAAATATTTAAGATACAGTTGGTCAAAGATAAAACATGAAAACCTGGCCTCATAAAAGGAATAAATACAACAAGCGTAATTGCTGACATATAAAACAAATTACATGTATCTAAATGCGGCTTATATATCTTATAATGTTTAACCTTCATGTATCCAAGTGAACACATCAAAGTGTGAGTCCATGCTTAGTTTTCAATAAGATATAACATCTAGAAAAAGGGAAACTCACTTTTTACAAAGCAATATCAAAATTCAAATCAGATTGTAACCAACAACAGTACACACAACTTGGAGTGACCATATTTTTTACATTCCCTCTTATAAATACCTTCCTTGCTAGACCAATAAGGATTAGAACATTAAAAACATGTCTAATGTACCAATTATCAATTGTAGGTACTAAGCAACTAATCTGGTTTTAAGACAATTATCTTGAAATTATATCTTTACAGACAATCTTTAAAACAAACTATCTTTAAAACATCAATACTGATAATAAGAAAACACTTTTAAATGGCAGAGCAATCTTTAAAAACATGCTTTAAGAGACTTGGCTAATAACAGTGACCGTCTCTCTTTGTAATTTAAAATCCAAATTGGTTTAATTCAATTCTTGTTTATATATGGAAGTCACTTTGAAAAAAATTAATAAAGTTGTAGGGTAATTTGGTCATGTTTATCAATAAAGAAACCATTGTGTTTTGGAATTCTGGAGAATTCAGAATTGATGTCACAATACTTATCAGTGGCAGAATGAAGTGGAGTTTATGTGTAGGTTAGGGGATGAATCCTTAAATGAATTTCTAATCTCTTTGCTTCCAATCTCTTTGCTTCCAAGCATTACCATTCAGGGCCTAATTCAGCTAGGTAATATTCAGACAAATACTGTTCTATTTGTATTTACTATGATTATTTCATTTTAACTCTATGTTATTTCTTTCAAAAGAGAGGAATACCTGTAAGGGTGGACAAATAACACTGTTAATATGACAGTTATAATTTATAAAATGACAGTAATTAAAGTCAAATTACATTATCATTAATGTGTCAGATTTAACAAGAAATCACATCATTTGTAAGATTATATAAACCATGTTTTCTATCTAATTGAAAAGTAAAGCTTGGGTAATTCTACCTCAGAGCTCTCTTCATTGCTTAAGACATTTGTTTTTACTGGTGTTGTTTCCAAGAACATAATATATTGTTTTACCAGCGTCCTGGAATGCTTACATGTAGTTCATTGCATACTAGCATCACAATTATTGTAAACATAACTTTAACCCTGTGCCAGTGCCTTATATTGAATAGTAATTGGTTACTCTTCAATCACCCTAATCACTAAAAAGCACCTGCTGCCAAAATAAATTTGGGTTGTCTTCTAACCTTAATTTATTATTATATTATATGAAAAACATTGCGGAACAGGCTCTTGCCCATACAATTCCTTGTCAGGGCATTAATCCTAGGCTTGCATTAATTTATAGGGAATTATTAAAGCTAATGAAGTATACAATATGGTGTTTAAAACAATAATAAAACCAAATTTACACTTTAAACAGACTTCTGATAAAAATTTTAAAAGATAAACCAGGCGTGGGGGTCAAAAACCTTTTTATATATTAAGCTGAGATTTTACTCAATAGCAACCAAAATAGTATGTTATGTATTAACCTAGTTATCATCAAAATGACTTAACCTTGACTTACTGTTAAACTGAATTAAATAAAAAATCATCAGATATCTTAAGTGTCCTCAAAAGACCTACGCAATACACAGAACATAGTAAGGTATGAAAAGAATAAATAGGTTTGTATAGTTGACCAACCACCTGACATTTCTTATAACAAATGAGGCGTGGCGAGAGTTTTGATGTCAAAAAGTATGTCAGACGACTGAATGAGCTGATTTCTGATGTCATTAGATTAATTTTGATAAATACATCCCCCACTGAGAAGTCATACCTATGCCTAATTACATTTTTAAACCATAAATACATTTAATATAAATGTATTAAGACACAAATAAGTCATCAAGTTCATTTCATGTCTTTGGCTGTAAAGTTTATTAACCTTGAGGGCAATACAAAAATCAGTGATTTGAAATCTTTACTTTTAAATTTATCTAGATGATTCTGAATTAATTGAAGTTTTAAAGATAAACCTACATTAAACTGATGAATAAAGTTGATGACTTGACAAAATTAAAAAATGTCATCTTGCAAATGCACTCTTGTATTTCAATGTAATATTTATTTTCATCAAAAGGGAAAAGGTCCTCTATTCGAGTCTGTTTGTTTGTTCAAAGTTGATTTTATTTTCAGTAATTGTTCTTTATTGAACCTTTTAAAACAACAATTAAGTAACACTTTGTTAAAAAGGAGAGTATCTCATATTTCTTCAACTAAAATACAGGTAAAATTGGCTTAACAAAGGTATTATTGTGAATATATGAAAGTTAAAGACTACACTAAGAGTATCAATGTCATATGAGTAAATACAACATAAAAAAAATGAATTCCTGTGGTTTGAGCCAGCATGTTACCTTATCATTAAATTAATAAATATCCAGCACAATAGACTGGTATGTACATAAATTATAACACGTTTTTACTCCACTGAATCTTGAAGGACAAAACTTGGTAATGCATTCAATATTAATCAATGAAAAATATTTACACTTATCATAGGAAACACTTGAAGACTTGACTTGAAGAGACGGGTTTGCCATTCATTTGACCATTTCAGATTTTTTTTAGCTAAGCTAATCACTCGAAAATTTCAGTCTTCAAATCCATGCGTGTCCAGAATTATTTGCATTTGAAAGTTAAAATGATGAGTCGTCTTTTCTTGAGACTGTGCCATTTATAGAAAAGACAGAAATAGAAAGTGGAATTCTTAGTCTGAGATATTTTAGAAAGAATGATGCGATTCTTGTTCTTTTGGATACTATTTACGTATTCAAGACTCAAATCAACCCCTGAAGATGGTGAATCTGTTCCTTTAAGAAGGAAAATAATAGGGATGATCACCAATAACTGAAATATTTGAAATTATTTTTCAAAACTATTCATTACCATTAAAATAAGCCACTGTCATGCAAAACATGGGCATTTGTTATGCAAGTGTTATTTTCAATACAAAGGACAACTCATAATTCTAGTCTATCCTCTAAACATGTTTGAATGAATACATGAAATTTTACTGTCAATAACGAGTTGTTTGCATTATGGTGTTTTTATGAAGATTTAATACCTTTTTATACAAAATCAAAAGTTACTTGTTTGTGGTAATTCACTCACAAATAGAATCAACTACTTTTTGTGAGCAA